GACAGCAACCTGGCCCCTGGCTCAAAAAGGTTGCCTACCCCTGCTATAAACAGTAAGTGAAGCTTTAGAAGATGATAGGTGTGGTCTCAACGCATTTCATGACCAGATGGATACTTCTTTTGTAGATGAAGTGTTCACATCTCTTGTCTTGCTTTTTCCCCCCTTTTCTTTTTGGTTTGGTAGAATTTTTGCAGTGAGAGGTTTAGCTAATCAGATAAGCAGTGTCTACCCTGCGGTTGTTGCTGGGATACCTCCCACATACTTTGACACCTTTTTAAAAAAGTAATATGATTGCTGTCTTTCAGCAGTATATCTACTTGGGTAGAGAAAATGACTTTAGGCATTTGTGTATGCATGCCTGGGAATCTTGACTGTATTATGTACAAACACATTTCACTTGTCTCAATAGAATTATGGGCTAATTAATCAGTCACGCTCCATAATCTGTGAACAATTTTTCACGAATCACATACATGCATTTCTGGATTTCATTAGTTGAATAGCATTTTTTTTTAAAAAAAGATTGACATTACTGCTCTTCTTGCTTGATATGCATGCATCTTTGGACCACTTTCCCCCCTTGCATATTCACATACTTATGTTAAGATGTATAAATTATGTAGATGCTTTAAACATGTTTGTAGTGAGTATGAGTAGTCAAGAATAGTGCAATCTAATTTATAATTTCTCTAATCGTACTATGTTCCTTTTAGGATGCTGCATTCAGTTGACTCCTAGATATGGATAGTCCAGTTGAAATTGACATTCCTTATGGAACACTGTATTAGTTCTGCTGCAAGCCACCTTAATGTTTACAATAACTATAGTTTTTTGTGGGTTTTTCGGGCTGTGTGGCCATGTTCTAGAAGAGTTTCTTTCTGACGTTTCGCCAGTATCTGTGGCTGGCATCTTCAGAGAAAGATGCCAGCTACAGATGCTGGCGAAACATCAGAAAGAAACTCTTCTAGAACATGGCCACACAGCCCGAAAAACCCACAAAAAACTATGGATGCCGGCCATGAAAGCCTACGACTTTACAATAACTGTTCTACCTATTTATGGTACTGTCTTAAATTTATTCCAGGCTTCTTAATTCAGATGTCCAGTTTCCATTCCTGATCAATGAACCATGTAGTTACTAAGTGATTGGATAAATGAGCAGCCCTACTGATAGGAAACAGAAAGGCATACATAATTTTAGAATTACAATGACTGAAGAAAATCTCCTTCATAAGTGTAAGAAATGATATAATTTTAGGTCTTTATCTAAGACAGAACATACCCAGGTTTGTGTACACACGGATTAGAATGCTCAGTTCATAATGTTCATCATCTCTGTACTTGTTATTTATTTGAACAGAAGTCCCTGTCCTGTTTTGGAAGGGAGAGATAAAGAAATAGGAAATTAAAATAAGTTAAGACCAATATGAGTTTTTAATTGCTCTGGCAAAATGTAAGATTATCCATTTTGTGTGCTAGAACTGAAGTATGATATTATCCTCAAATGTGAAGAGATATCTTAAAGATGCCCTGGGGTGTTTGCAGAATTTCTCTGATCTTTTAAAATTCAGGCTCCTAATGCCAATTATTCATATTATTAGATCTTATGATTGGGCTTATTTGTACACTTGTACAAATAGGTGTACAAAATCAGTTTTCCTTTTTAATGTGATAGTGCCATGTTTTGTCATTTTAAAAATGTTTAACCATCTTGGGGTGACCTCAAGGTATTAGTTGTTAAGCAGGAAATGCCGGATTTCATGTTTATTTGGATTTATACTTGAGTTGAGTGCATATTGAATTATTAATTGCTGCACTTGGAAAGTCCAATTTGATACTTAAATCCAAACATGAAAAATAAAGCCATTTTGTGTAGATGGTAGTCTGGTGTGTGTGCATGTCTACTGTGTTAATCTTGAGGATATTGTGAATCTAGGAGGAGAGATTGTGTTATACTCTCATGCCAAAACTAAGGACACTTTGGGATGACAGCTTTCCTCACTGCATGACTAGGCTTCTGAATGGCACAACTACCACTCTGCATCACAAGGTACTTCTGACAACTCATAAGATGAATTTTATACATGGAATTATAGATTTGGGAAATAAAGACGCGAACAGCATTACTGGGCAGGGAAGATCTAGTGGGTAGATAGCAGTAGCTCTGTCAAGAAGCTCATTGTTCTGTTGAATTTAAATGGAGAAACTTCTGCTCATTCGTGCGTAGAAGTTCAAATCATGTCAAGAGTGCTGTATTATAATAGTCATTCCTTAGTAAAATCACAGGCTTCCCAATTATATTTGTACAATGGTTGGTACTCTTCTTTCAATGGCATTAGTACAGTATGTCTTATTAAGCCAACTCAAAGGGCAATAGGGAGCTCAAATGTTTGGACACATTTTTATATCGCTTTTGATGGCCCTATTCAAGGTACTAAATTAATATGGATTTTTTTCTTGTGGCCATTGTGACTACCTTTGCTTTCTTATTTGAACTTTTGTTTTCTCTATGTGCCATTGGAAATTGTTTTTGACACTTACCAGGTCTACAATTTATTTTTACAAGCAGTAGAACTACTAGGGTCTACTTCTTCTTATGATGTCTTTGGCATAATTATTTTGGATGACAGTGAAGTATCTCCTTTTGTTACCACTATAATCCATGATCTGTTCACTGGGTAGAAAAGTCTTTAGGCCCGATTTTCTTTTATTAAATATGTATTTTTATTAATTTTATAACAGCAAATAACCAAATTTAAAACAAAGTAAAACAAATGATGAATTTGCAAGTAAATTAGTTTAGATTAAATATATCAGTTACGGACAAAGTATATCTCTTCAAACGTTGTTGGACTGTGACTCGCAGCAGCCCTTGTCAGCATAAGATAAAGAATGCTGAGAATTGCAGTCTAAAAACATCTGGACCACACTTTGCCCTCTCCTGATTTATGTTGATAGATCATGCCAAGATTCACTATGTCACTGTTGACCACTGACTGTGGTCAGTCTAAAATAATATATATATATATCTTGTCCATAATCTCCCACCCCTCCATGTACATGCATACATATATATAAATGTATTATTCCAGTAAGTCTTACATTAGGTTCCCATGAATGTCAGCTGAGATGAGGATACAGTATTTCCTCTTATTGGCATAGATGATAGATTTAAACCTTGACTTTTAGAACAATCTTTGGGTGTATGAGTGGTTTCTACTTTTCTCAAGAATTTAGCTAAAGTGATGCCTGACATTCTGTCTGGTATGCACGTGGCTGAACTCAGGTGCCCCCTTTGTGATAATCCCAGTGGATTAAAGGGATCAGTCATGTTTTGTGTGATTGAGGCTTGCTGTTTTCTCTTTTCTGGTTTGCCTGACCATAGTTTGTTGTAATGGCTGAATGAGGCAATTGTTGTTCTGTGTCTTCAAATCGTTTCCGACTTATGGTGACCCTAAGGCGACCCTATGGGGTTTCCTTGGCAAGATATGTTCAGAAGAGATTTACCATTGCCTTTCCCTGCGGTCACCCAGTGGGTTTACATAGCCGATAAGGGAATTGAACCCTGGCCTCCAGAGTCATAATCCAATACTCAAACCATTAGGCAAACATGGTGGTATTAACTGTAAGTTGCTAGCACATTCTGATTTGAAGTCATGGTCTTGTAGCAATGTATGGTTAATACTAACCAAAGTGCTGCCTGATTTGGATATCTGAGCAAACTACTATATAGTGAAACACACCAGGAAAGACTGGAAAAAATCGAGGTGTAACATCAGAAAGGCACTATATACCTACTGGACTGAAGTCTGGAAAGTGGACTGGAATGTGATACTGTTTGTTTGTTTTTGTTGTTTAAAGCAAACCATTCTGGATCCTCTTTAAGCCATTCTGAAGGCCTTTGCAGACTGCCAGAAATAGTGCATATTAAATTGAGGCACTGCCCTGGCTCAGTGCTAGGGAATCATGGGAACTGTAATTTATTGTGGCACCAGAGCTCTCTGACAGAGAAGGCTCAATGTCTCAGAAAAAAATACAATTCTCATGATTCCTTAGCATTGAGCCAGGTCAGTGCCTCAATTTAAAGTACACTATTTCTGGCAGTCTGCAAAGGCCGTGAGATATAGATATGCAATACCTGACTTGAGCCAATGATTTTCATGAAATATCAGATCAGTTTCTTCAACGTTGCTGATTTAAGGCAGAAGCAGATGGCCCCAAAGGGGCAGAGTCCCCTTTGATCGCTGGGTTGGGGCTGCGGCAACTGCACACCACACCCCCAGCCAGGCATTTTCCCAGCTCAAAAAGAAGTGGCAGAAAGCTGCTCCTTTTTGAGCTGGGAAAAAGCTGCCTTTGCTGCTTTGGCGGCAGTTTTTCTGTGCTTTCTGCGGTGTCTAAATGTCATGCCACTGGAGCGCTGAAAAACTGCTGCCATGTGGATCATAGGGGGGCTTCACAGAGTGTTCCCAGAGTCTTGGGGGCATTTGTCATGCGTATGCCATGCCCCCAAGATGCTGGGAAGACACCACATTTTGCCAGTCTGTTTTCCCTCTTAATCTCTCTTATAAGAACTCATTGCCTTTCAACTGATGATTTATTTCCAGTCTTGTCAGCTAAGCATTTTTACTGTTTGTTAAGCAAATTGCTTGAACCCATTATTTTTAAATTTCTCCAATAATGATTTTTGATAAAGTGCCTCTGCATCTAATTCCCAGCTTAGTTAAAAAAATAAAATAAGCCCATCTCTATTAAAGTAGGGGTTGTATGAACCAGAAAGCTATAAATTGAACTCTCGTAGCCATTAATTTACTTATTATGTCCAGCTTTGTCGCTCACCTGTAACATGAAGATGACAATACTGACCTGCCTTACAAAGTTGCCTGGTTTGCTCAGATACTGCTGTCCATTAATTAATGCATGTGAAGTGCTTTGCCTATTATTTAAATGCTTAGTATTAAAATTGGCTTATGTGGGTAGTAAGTCCTTAGGTGAATCAGTTATTTTTTTCACATGTATTTTTTTCTGGACAGATGCCATCCTCAATCTAGGTCTGTTTTTGAAAGCACTCTGGCAGCAACAAATATCTGTTAAATGTACACTGTTTTAAAAGAATAATCCAAATTTTCCAACCAAAAGTTTCTTGTGTTGATGCTCAAAATGTTTAATTCTATTTGATGTGTTATTTAAAAGGATAAGGAACAGTTGGTATGAAAACCAAAATGTTGATGTGTGCTATGTGGGTAAGGGTTATGTGTGTGAAATGAGAAATGTCATTAAAGGATTCAACTTACATTCCAGTGTACGGGACACTTAAGGTGTAAAAGAATCATTTTCTTATTATGTCAGTTTCCTATTCATTTGTATTTGGCCTTTATTCTTCCAGCTGCTAAAATGATGTGACTGCTTTAGAGGCCTTGGGATGTAGACTCTGCATGAGATCAGCAGAAACCTAGATATAATTTGAAGAATAAAAGTTCAGTAAGCCAAGCTTTTGTCAGTAGTAAATGCATTGATGCACACTGAGAGGGATTTTTAAAGCTAAAAATGTTGCAGGCTGCTATGAGAACAGTCATAACTTGCAATAATATATGCAATATAACCAGTGCATGTATTTGATGAAGCAATTACTAGTAATAACAGTATGGGAAATGGAATTAGTAACAAACATGCTAATATTCTTGCAGATATTAACTAGCATGTTTGGGAGACTTCATGGTGCAACTGGAGACCAGAAGATAGCAAGCATCAGGAGTAGCACACTAGCCTCCAGTTTAAAGAATGATAATTGATATGGACAGCAGCCTCCATCTATGGAAGTTATTGATGACCCTAGATTACATGGAGATCCTCTCTCAAAGCCTCTTCTCTTCAGACTGTCACCATTTACAGATGGGGAGTGACAATAGAAAGGCAAAGTCTAGTACATTCCCTTCCTTTTGTTGGACACCTGAATAAGGCTTAGATGATTGCAGTATCAAAAACAGTTTTGTTGCACACAGCTATTTTGCTTGTAACTAAAGACTGCAGACTTGATCATTAACAGACCCTCAATTAAAATCTGTCAAGCATTTACTGATGGTAGGTTGGATTCAGGTAATCAAACCCCTAAAGATCAGTATATGTCTGTGTGATTTTCCCTTTTGCATGAGTATTTATCATGTGATCAATACTCTCCTCGTCAAATTGGGCTCATTCCTTTGCATGCATAATAAGCCATGATTGGCTCAGAACTTGTCCTTTTAAAAATAATTTCTTTCCATTTATTTCTTTGAAAGGAGGAACAAATAACCTTTTCACCAGTTGTATTTAGCTGTGGGATGTGGGTGCATACGAGTGCATATATGTACATACCGTATATGTATACACATACTTTCCTTCTTACCCATTGAGATCATGTTACAAGTTTGGCAGGCAGATGGGCAAAGTTTCAGATCACTGATTACCACTCACAGCATCAAGGAAAAAGCTATCTCTGCATTGGGATTATTGGGAAAAGGACAGACATTAGCTTTGCCCTTCTTCCAATCATCCTGCTACAGATCAAGATAATGAGGGTGCACAGAAGACTTTAGCCCAATGACTTTGATAAACACCAAGCAATCCTGGTGGGAATAATAACTAATAATAAAAGAAGAAAGCAGACACTTTCAATAAACAAAAAGAAAGAAAAAACCATGAATGACAGGAAAACACTACAAGCGATAAAGAAAAGAAGAAAAACAAAAGGGAGATATAACAAACTAAGATTTATTGAATGCAACAGTACAACGGCTTCTGTGGAAAGATAAAGAAAATTACTACTACGACCAATGCAGAGAAATAGAAGACAACAACAAAAATGGAAGAACAAGAGATCTAGTTCACAAGATCCGGGAAATCAAAGGAAAATTCAAACCAAGGACTGGGACAATGTATGAAAAAAACACAACATAATTCAAGATCAAGAAGGAATAAAAAGACGTTGGCTGCGATACACAGAAGAATTATAGAAAAGAGATGACAAAATGAAGGACACATGGAATGAAGAGCCATATGACGATGAACCCCAAATTCTAAAAAGTGAGGTAGACTGCACTAAGAGAAATAGCAAAAAACAAATCACCAGGAACAGATGGTATTCCAATTGAATTGTTGCAGTCCACATTGACAGAGTCAACTCTAGTGCTAACCAACATACGTCAACAGATGTAGAAAACAAAACGATGGGCAACAGATTGGAAGCAATTAATATACATCCCCATCCACAAAAAGGGAG